CACCAATTTACTAGAAAATTTATCGTGGCCACGGTGCCACGGGGAAAGTGGCCTTCCGTGCAAAGTCGCGACTGATTTGGAATAATTAATCGCAAACAACGTTGGCTCGATCGCGCTCATAATCCGCATATTGCGCGCGTTCGAACGTAATTTGCGATTGATAAATGTCACGATGACTGACGAGCTCGTTTAAATAATAGGAAATTAAAACCGGGGGAACGCGACAGCCGGCATGTGTCCAATGGGTTTCATAACGGAGGCCAATAGCGACCCCGGTTTCCCACCTGTACTCGTCGGCTGCACGTACACGCGGAATTGTATACGTATCGGCCGAATAGTTCACACGAACATCGGCCGTGAACCGGTCGCGATAGAGAGGAACGTTTGATTAGCATATCGCAACATCGACATCGATCGCGCGCAATCGAAACGCGCTCGTTTCTTCCGATGCGCAGAGCTGCCGCGCTGTTTTTTGCGCTACTAATCGAGCGCTACGATCGAGGTTTGTTCGAGGAGGGATTCGACGATTCGAAAGACGCCCGGAATGATCGCCGCGCCTTGCCGAAGATTCGAAAACGGAGAGAAAGATAGGTTCCCGGGGCGGAACGAGCGAAAAAGAGGAAACGATCGACCGACCGATGCGATGGTAAGAGGGTAAACGGTTATAGAGGTGGGAGGGAGGGAGGGAGGGAGGGAGGGGGGCGGGAAAGAACGGCCGTGAAGTAAATAGAATCCTGGCCGTTCTGCCGTAAAATTGTATGTGAAATTGTGCGATGTGTCTTGCGAATTGAATCGCCGGAAACGACATTGATTTTATTGCTTGTTTTCAGTGCTGTATACCTCGTTCCGTTCTCTTTTTTTGCCTTCGACCTGAAACCGCCCTTCCCCTTCCCGTCCAGTGCTTCCACCGTCGTCTCTGCCTTCTTATTTCCACCGTTCGCCGTTTAAACCGCCCGCTGACGCACTTTCCATTCGTTTCTCCACTCTGCATTGTTCGGGCGTCGAGCGACATGCACCTTTACCGTACGGACGTATCGCCTGAAACTCAGCGATCGACGAGAATGATGGGGAAAAGAGAGGGAGAAAGAGTGAATCTCTCGCAAGAAAGAAATCACAGAAATCGTAAACGCACGAGTGATCTTTAATACAACGAATCATCATCGGCCGGAAACTTTTTTCATCGGTGAATCGAGGGGACTGGACTGCGGTGACCGAGTGCGCGACGACGAGGTCGCGCCTTTGACGACCGGGGACAAAAAGTACCGTGAAAAATCACGGCTACCGGCCAGGATTAATTGGGCTTATTAACGCGAACGAAAGAACCAGGCCGTGTTATATGCCAGGGAGAAAATTCCAATATCAGCGCTCCCCCTCCCCCTCCCTTCATTCCCCCGCGCTCGCCAACATTTTTGTAGATACAGGACAGGGATTCGAGCGCGAGGTAAAAGAGGATCGAAGCAGGGTCAGCAGCCGTCCGCAGGTTCCGCCCATAATTTGTTTTCAATGATTTACCACGGGCTAATTGCAGAATGCAGCGAGCGGTAATATCGCTTTGCAGCGTTACGTCCGGGAGCTAGCTATACTTTAGTTTGCAATTTAAACTTTACTTCCTCCGGAATTGATTAGCTTTTAGTAATTAAGCAAGCAACGCCTTGGACCACCCCTACCCCTCGACGATCCACTCTCACCCACCCCACCAACCTATGTTATATCCACCACCTTCAACCCTGCCTCTTCTCCTTCTTCGCCTCCTAGCCTCCTAGTTTTCCCTCTTCTCTCGCTTCTGCTCTCCGTCGTCGTCGCCGCCGCCGTCGTCGTCGTTGTCGTTGTCGTTGTCGTTGTCGTTGTAGGCGACGAACACACACCGGTTCGGTTTCGTCGTGCTGCGCCTGCGTTCGAGCACGCGCGCGCTCCGCTCGTACAATTGCATACACGCACCCATACAACAAACCGTACGCACCCACTTACGCGTATACACGCGAGCCCACCCAAACTTCCTCTGCCTTCAACCCTCTGCGCCCGTCTCTTTCTCTCTCTCTTTCTCTCTCTCTCTCTCTCAACCCCTCTCGACCTCCCTCTTCCTTCTGTCGTCCTCTTTTGCTCTTTCCTCCACCACGGCTTCTCCCGTGGTCTCTCCGTCTCTCTTCCTCGCAGCCCTTTCCACCTTTTCTCTCTCTCTCTCTCTCTCTCTCTCTCTCTCTCTCTCTCTCTCGATCTCACCGCATTGCACGGGTGGATTTTAATCAACGCTTTACGAGTGTGAGACAGAGGAAGTTAAGCCGAGGAGAAGCCCGAAGAGCGGTGGATGCGCGCGTGTACGTATACACGCTGCCACGCTGGTGTTCCCCCGTCCGATATATATATGCACATATATATTTATATATATATATACATACACACACACACACACACACACACACATACATATATCATATGTATTTTTTTTTTTTTTTTTCTTTTTGACGCGCGAAAACGTAACCCCAACCTCGAAGCCTCGCGTGTGTTTTCCGTTGAATCGAGTGCGAAGCAATTTCGGCAAGGAATGCGTTTCCCTCGATACCGCGCTATACGGGGTATAGCTTGCCCAGACGGGACAAGCTCAACCAATTTCAACTTCCATTATACACCCTTACCCGATTCCGTGGACGTATTTCCAAAGTATGCAAAGCGACTGATCTGGATTTCCATGGTAATCTCGACGCTTTACGCTTTCCCTATCATCCACCTACCTCCTTATCTTGTCGTTCGCTGCTATAACGTTCGATTCGCTTTTTGCAACCGACAAATTTTGCGTTGTCGTTGCGTTATTCCGCACCCCTGCTCGCGTTTCTCGCCCCTCTCGAGTTTCGTTCTGTCGTTCGTTCGTTAGATCGAAACGGTTTGTCAATATTTCGGAAGAAATTCACGGAACGCGAATGCAGCCTGGCAGCCAGGTCGTCGAGGTTGTAGTTACGATCGAAGCGTTTCCCGACTCCGGCGGTCGGGTCTCGCAGGCTTCGGAAGTTCGCGCTGGTGCACCACGTGCCGGAGCGCGGCCGACGAATTTAAAAAACGCAATTTACGGACAATAGAATAGCGGTCGGAGTTCGGTGACCTTGTCGACGCGGAGGACAGTCGGCCTATGTAGAACAAGGACTACGTCAGGCCGCGATCCTATCGGAGGCGTGGGGTTGAAACGATGGAAAAGCGGTATTCTCGCGAGCCGAATTACCGTTCCTCGATATTCCCTCGTTCCACCCTCGCGCTAGCACGCCCTCGACATCGTAAAAATGTTGTTTTTTAATTTAGGAGACGCCGCGAGGTTAATATACGGCTTTAATTCCAGGATTTCATTTAGGGGTTAGTCGCCTCGGCGTTTCGCGAGTGCGAAACCACCACCGCCGGTGGTGGGGAGGGGAGAGAGGTTTAAGAAAAGAGAATCACGGAAAGGGTATCAGATGCAGAAAGGACGAAAGGCGGGAGGCGTATGCTCGAAAGACTAGCCAGCCTGCCCGCACTCGTTACACGGACGTTGAACAAACACTCGCGATAAAACAAGAGATCGTTCGATTTCCTCTTTCCGAAGGGACACTCGACCAACTCTTGAGAGATGGACGATTCTCTTTTACCGAGAGGAAAATTCCTCCTCCCCCCGCCCCGATTGATTTCCCGTCGAAACCGCGGCCGGCAAACCACGATGCTCTAATTGTTTGAAGCAACGTCGAATTTCCATCGGTTAATCGAGTGATCGTAATCGTCGAAGAAATTGGTCTCGGGTCGGCAAACGTTAACGCGACCTTCCAGCCACCCTTCTCGGGCCAAGTTCGGCGGGAACGGCGGTCGGTCGCGCTAAGGCAATTAAAGCTCCACCCAATTAATGCCTCAGCGAACGCGGCGGGGGTTGGTGGCGAGCGTTGCGAGGGCCGTTCTTCTCCTCTCTCTCCCCCTCCCAACTCTCCTATAAACTCAGTCAGCCTCTCTCTTCGTCTCTCATTCTTTCCCTCTCCGTCTCGCAAACAACGCCTTCTTGCCTGGCAGACGCCGCGCGGAAATTTCATTCGGCCATTGAAACGTAAATGTACGCCGCAGCGAGCATTTCATTCGGCCGTTGAATACTATGGATTGTCCGATAATGCTCGATTTATACCGAGGCCGGATTCAAAAGGACGACGTTTATATTGTGTAATGCGGCGAACCCGCTCATAACCGCGCCACGGATTTATTTCGCGGAACGACGAGTCGAAAACGCGCGGCCCGGTACGCTCCATTCCGCTTCGAGTTGTTGCAGCACGGCGCGTCTCAATGGCGCGACGCAGCGAGCGTGGCCAGCGAAAGAGAGGTACAAAAAGAGAAGAAAAAAAAAACAAAAGAAAAAGAAGGAAATGCTGGTCGAGTAAGAACGTGCTTCGTGGAATGTGCACGTGAAACGTAACCAATGGAACCTCGTGACTCGACGTTCTGTCGCAGAGGTCGCAACGAAAACAGAAACATAATTTGTTGATAATACCGATAAGGTCGTGCTGTACTTGGAATCGCGGGATTACTTGGGAATAACATTCGAACGGGAAGGGAAAAACAGAAAAAAAAAAAAAAGAAAACATCGCAACACGAAGGTTGAAAACGCAAAACGATTTACAGATCGGGACGTCCCTCTATTCTAAATGGATCAACGCGACAAGTAGAAAATAACCAGCGCGGCTGTCGCGATGAAAAAGTCCGCTCCTCCTAACGTTAATTAAAACGTCCCGCATCGGAACCGGCATCAGCGGCCACGCTCAACATCGCGAGCACCGAAGTATCGACACACTCGCGAATGTCCGCGTCGATTCCGACGTTCTGGCCACGCGCGCACCGCTGTAATAAGATCTATCAATCGTTCGTTTCGAATCGTCGCGTTGTGAATCGATTGAAAACCGTATATCCGCTCGTGGAACGTGTGGCTCGCTCGTTTGAGACCCGCGTGTGCCGACTGTGCACGCTGTTCATTCGCAAAAGAGTGTCGTTTATCAGTTACTCACCGATCGATGAACTGCAGGATCCGTGAAAATCCTCGGATGGCACGGTCGTGGTAGTAGCTTCCTCGATCCTCCGCGCGTACGTTGACACTCATGAAACACACTCGATGAACGGAGACGGAGAGCGAGCACGAGCAGTCGAAGTCGGCAGTTGAGAGCGTGGAAAACGGAGCGAGGATCTGATTGGGTAGAAAAAAACAAAGAAAACGTGCGGAAAGAGTGAAGAACGGCAACGGTAAGGAAGAAGAACGACGGAGAAGGGATTAAGAAGGGAGAGAGACGCTTCTCTCTTGTATCCAACACTTATCGTTCGAGTCACTTGTCGCGCGATATCGATCGATCGAGCGTACGCGTGCCGCGGAGTCTCGTGCGGTGGATAGCCGCGGCAGGAAAGTAATTCAATTCATTAGCGGGTACGCGAGCGTCTCGTGCACGCTCGTGACGCGTTATTAATAGCACAGGACGCGGTTGTGTGCCGCCGGTGTGCGCCGCCGCGGTCTGAAGATTCAGAGGATCGTGCTGCAGCAACGCGTATCAGGCGCGTGTGTAAAACGGTGGCAGAAGCAACGGAGGAGAGCGCTGGGGCTGCCGGTTAGTCCGCAACGGCAGCTCACTTCGGAATGAAGAGGAACGCGACGGTACGCGAGGGTACGCGAGGGTACGCGAGGCGACGCGAGACCGCCAACCACTCGGCGCACTCTCGGCTAGTCTTTGCTCGGCACACTCGTCCGGCGTCTCCTTGCTTCTCGTCCTGCGGCCGCCACTCGTCGCTCTATACTGCGACGTCATTTGGCACGTCACGCGTGGCCGTGCGCAGACGCGGTTGCCCGAGCGGCGCGTGTCGCGTGAACCTTCTCCCGCACCGCACACCACGCTCTGTGTACAGTATACGCTATACACGCATCTAGTACACGCGCTTTGTACACCGGTCATCTTTATCAATCGGGGAGTCACGACCGCCACTGCCACCGCCAACGCCACCGCCGCCGCCGCCGTCGCCGCCGCTGGCTGGCACGATTTCTTCGTTACACCGGCGGATATTGTCTGGGAGGATTTAACGATAAGGCAGGAAGCGACAAGATCTCGGAACGGGGTTGAAAGGAACGGTCGGGGGAAGGTCGGAAGGATTAACGATCTTGTTTTTATGCAAGAGTTCGAGGGGTAGTTAAGGGAAATACAGAATTAAGAAAGTTAATCGTGCCTGTAACGACGTTTACGGACCTGTGTAAAAGAACCCTGCCTGGGCTTTTTTTGCATCGCGTGTATATTTCCAAAGGAAGGTTCGGTCTTGACGCGATCGAGAAAAAGAAAAACTCCATCGCGAGATAGAGTTTCTCATTAAGCCCTTTCGGCTTAATTCCTTTGTTCCCTTCAACCGGTAGTTAAATTCGGTTCGAGACGCGGAGGAAAAAGAGGGGACGATCGTGGAGCGCTCGTTTCGATGGTGGGAGCGAATTAGATGACGTCGCGATTACCCAGTGACGAACGAAAATATCCCAATCGGCTGGACGGTGCGCCGGAACTACGATAATTACTGCTAATGTAAATGTTCGTTAATGGGCGTTATTAAATGCAACGCGGTAAAATAGTCACCGGCGGCTTCACGGCCGTACAAGCTGCACCCACACCCGCTAACCGGACCAATTATATTAATTAAATGAACATTATAATTAGCTAATTAAATCAAAAGCATTTCGGCGAGGCGGACGCGCACGTCCAACACGTACCAGCCCGTAATACGTACGAACGCGTTCTCCACGAGTCGCACTCTGTGTAAGTGTATGTGTGCGCGTGTATGCGCGCACGCGCGCGCTCGCGTTAAAGGCTTCACAATGACATTGGTAAGCGGTATTGTCCGGCTAGATTTTCCATGATTTTACAGGCTCGAGCATTTCAGCCCCGGTTGAGATTACGCGATAATCAAATTCGCTCGTGGCAAACAAAATGACAGAATGCCCGACCGTATTGTTAACCACGGTGCATCGCATTAGGAGTTTAACGTTGTCGAGCGATCGGCGCGGCATCGGCGCGGCATCGGCGCGGCATCGGCGCGGCGTGCCTAGCGCCGCGGGCACGATTGAAATTTTCCTCGTTTCGCCTGCAAACCGATATCGCGGCGGCCGTGCCGGGTGGAGGGGCAGGGGGTGGGAGAGGGTGCGAACAACGAACCGAACGGGAGTACCCGGGGGGGAGGGGAGGGGGGAGGGGTTGGCTAGATTATTCGACGGATTTTTTAATCGAATTCCTCGCGAGAGGTATCAACGTTTCCGAAAGAAAAACCGGGTCAATTAAAATTAATGGATAGCGTAATTAGAAAACTCGTTACGGAAGCTCGTGCGGGCGTGCGCGAGATACGCTCCAATCCAATCAAGGAAACGAGTTCCTTTTCTCGTCTTTAAAAAACTATTAAAATCTCTGTTGGCTGAACGATCCGCGCAAAAACAAACTCCTTCGCCCTGCCTATCCTGCCCAACCTCCCACCCCCTCCCCTCCTGCTTTCTCCGTTCCTCTCCTCTCGTCCTTCTACCGTGATCCTATTCGATCCTATGCCGGAGACGTTAACGCGTTTTCGTTCTATCCCGTTAACCGATCCCATTTAGCCGCGAAGACGCGAAATCGAAAGAGTAAGAGAAAAAGAATATCGGGGAGAGCGTGAGGGTGTGGGCGCCGGGCGGGGGTGAGTATTTCGGCGCGTTCGTTGCCGGCGTGCCGAGACATCGGCAACGAGCGAGGGAAGAGGTTCAATTATTTTAACGAACATCGCCAGGGAAACGTCTCGATCGCGTGATCCCTAATCGCAAATAATCGTAAGCCAAAGCTGTTGCTGCGGTCCCTGATACGCGTGTACATTTCCCCGTCGAGGCCTTCGTCCCGTGTGTTGTACGTACGTGCGCCACCGTGTGTATACACGCGCACGGGAAGCTTTGCAGGCCAGCCGGTTACAGTGACTCTCGAAAAGCAGCTCGTGTCATTAGTATGTTAATTGGTAACGGTCTGCCTACCTACCCGGCTGGCTGCCACATCGAGTCTCGTATACACCGCGTGTTTATACGTTAAGATGTTTAATAGCTTCTGTAATTATACTGTCCCTCAAAGGGTTAATTGTCCCATAAACCCATGAATACGTTAACGAGCGCGCGGCGTACCTCGCGAACATCGCCAAAGAACAAGGAGCCGCCAGGCGAGGTGGCGAGGGAACAGGGGCGGAGAAAGCCAGGGTAAGCGAGGGATCGACGAAACTCGAACGCGCGCGCGCGCGCGCACACACACGCACACACACACACACACACACAGAGCTGTCGCGAGCGAGGCACGCGGTGAGAACGAAGAGAGGGAAGGAGAGAAGGGTGGTAGATCGCGTCGTAGTACAGATTTCTCTGCGAGATTCTCTGAATGAGAGAGAAAGGTGAAAAGCGCCGAAAGTGTTAGACTTTGGGGGCACGTAACCATGCGCGAGTCGGAAGATCGAGCGAACGGTCGTTCTCGCAATTTCGAAGACACCGTTCGCTACTTTCGAAAGGAATTCAACGAGAAAAGGGTTGATCTTTCTTCTCCTCCACTTAATGCAAACCGGCATCGGAATTTCCAGGGAAATGGAAGTGTTGAGAAAGGAAACGACAGGAAGAGAGGGAGTGCATTGTCACTCTGTTATAATTAAGAAGATAGACTTTAAATCCAGATGCAAAGCGAGGAGCGAGTGAGACGAGGAGAGAGAGAGAGAGAGAGAGAGAGAGAGAGAGAAAGAAAGGAGTCGTTGCGGGCTAAACGAGTGGTAAAAGGCTGGCCTGCAAGATGTAGAAGGGGGCACGACGGGACAGAGGAAAAGAGAGAAAGAGAGAGAGAGAGACTCGGATGGAAATTAATTCATTACCCTAATGCGTTGAGCGAGAGAATGGGCCGACAGTTGAAGCGTCGAGTGCCAAGTATTTCGCGAAAGATGGATGTCTCGTTTTCATTCCGAAAATTAACACTCTCCCGTTACTTGCCAACCACCCAACAATTTTTTTTCTTTCCTTCACGCCCTGACCCACCTTGCTTAAATTCCACTTACCTCCGCTACCGCCTCTGTCTGTTCCGGGGTTCATTCTCTCGTCACGCGACCCATTCCACCCTTCTTTATTTACCGGTTCGCAGGCAGTGCGTTCTCGTCGCGTGTCGTTGTCGTCAGGCCCGTTACTCTCGACACTGATGCTCCACGTCGATTTACGCGTAAAAATTAACAACGTCCCATCGCTGCGACTCGCGTATCGCAAGACGTCCGAAAATTTCCCCCGGCCTTCGTGTTTAATCGATAAAACATCTCGACTCGAAGCAACCGCGAATCCAGGAAGAATTTCAATTCGAGTGAAGGCGAAAGGCCTTGTGGCAGGTGTTTTCTAAATAGCCTGCGAAAGATTTGCTTGGGATATGCTACGAATCGGTTCGAGATAAACGTCATCGATGGATGAGGAACCGAGAGGCGGCGCCGAAACGGGCAACGATAATAATCCCGTTCCGCCGGCGAACAACCAATCTCCTTTTCCATTTAACATACATCGCTAATAATATCTGACTGGCGAAATCGAACTCTATCTGGTATACTCTCTCTTTCTCTCTCTCTCTCTCTCTCTCTCTCTCTCCTTTTCGCGCCTGCACACGCTCCTTTTCTTTCGCTTCTTCATTCGATGGATCTTTCGACGAGCCTGTAGAGAAAGAACGGAACTGTAATCCGGCTGTCAAGCGATTCCGGCGGACAGGTTGAACGCGCGGATGTGTCACAAAGTCGTCCTAAGACTACCATTGATACCAATTTAAAGCGAATATCGGCCGCGTTCCCGCGGATATACCATTATCGACTTCCAAATCGAAGTGATTTGGACAAGCTTTTGCCCGATCCGCAGCCTCGCCGACCGTTCAAACAGCCGTCACGGGCACGTGTAATTAAATTTAACGCGCTACCCCCTGACCTTCCCCGTGACCCACATACTCCGCCGCCATCCCCATCCAACTTGTTTCTTTTCCACTATTTCCGTTTTACCACTTTGCCCAGTCGACCTACTTCCCTCCGCTGTAGTTTCGCGGGGAATCGGATACGTAGTACGTATGTAAATCCTCGAGCGATGTCTAGCCGCGGTCGACTCTCCGCGAGGCTCGGATTTCGACAATCGAGAATGGAAACGCGTGGGTCGTGCGTCGAAACGCTATTAAAATCGCGCCTCGTGAATATCACGTCGTTTGTCGGTCAACGGTGGAATTAGCGCGAGCGATAGACGAATACGCGTTGATGTGGAGGTGCTTCGAGGAGTTTCAAACGCCGTGCGAAAAGAAATAAAAACAAGACGGCGAAACATATTATGGTCTCTCTCTCTCTCTCTCAGTAGAAATGGCCAAGAGTTACTGGTTTCGCGGGATAGCAGTTACAGACATCGGGTATACCCGTAAAGCAATTAAAGGCTGAATTGCGCATTTGTTGGAATTTAAATGCAGCAGTTAAGGAAAATGACTCGGTTTGCGCGCACGGTGTAATTTATTCGTTCGAAAAGGCGCCAAACTAGTTTCGTCGTTTCGCGTTCGCCGTCTAACCTAACGACGATTCGAAAGAGAGAGAGAGAGAGAGAGAGAGAGAGAGAGAGAGAGAAAGGAGAACGGGTCGATCGTATGATCGAGTCGAACGATAATACGAGCGAACGAGCATCGATTCGTGTTTACATTTTTAAAATTCGTCGGACGGTCTGTCGGAAGGAAAGGGCACGCCGTGCCCTCGTCGTCGCTCGTTGGTGATTGCTGATGCCTTCTTCACGGCCCCCGATGTAATTTTCTGAATGACTGCGTAATTAAAACTCTAATTTCCTGCGCTTAATTGACCGGAGTCTTGGTTCCCTTCTTGCTTGCTTTCTCTCGCTCCTTACCTCGCCATCACGACTGCTCGCGCGCCAGTCACTCTCACCTCCTGTCGTCCCTTGCTCAATCTCGTAAAGCGAAGGAACGAACGAAGAAGACGGCCAGCTATTCTTCGCGCCTTTAACGCGAAAACTTTTTGCGCGTCACGCTTGCGAGGTGACGGTGTTAATCGAAAAAAAATTTACGAATTCGTTTTCGAATTCTGCAATCTCCGATCCTTCCGTTTTCCCCTTCCCCCTTCCCCCTTTTTCACGAATTCTCACCAAATTCTCAGATTCGTCGCTTTCTCTTCTTTTTTTTTTTTTTCTTTTTTTCTCCTTTGCGATGAAACCCGTTTGAACGAGAAACAAAAACGGTGGTCGAAAATATACAACCGCGGCACTGTTTGCGCCCAATTTTCACGACGCTCGGTCCGCGCCGCGCCGCTCGCGAGTGTCTGGATAATTACATCCGTCTCTGCTGGCCGGAGGCAATTATAATTGCCGACTCCTTTCGTAATTATAAGTTTCTGCGAGACTTGGCGTGGCGTGCCAGCATGCCAGCGTGCCAGCGTGCTCGCTGGTACAGAGAGAAGGCCGGCTGCTGAGGGTACGTGTGTTGCTGGCGGGCAAGGTCTGGCGGAAAGAGAGGAGAGAGAATCGGAGGACGAAAAGCGAAGGGGACGAGCGGCACGTTGCACGTGAAAACGTTAATTGGGGTGACCTGCTCAGAAACTAGTTACGGAAGGACTGCACTGACATTCCACGGGTCCCACGCGACATTGAATACATACAAACGCACCGATGCGACAACCTTGCATTTCCTTCGACTCGAGAATACGTTTCGCGAATATAAACAGGTATTTTGTATCGTCGAACGATTATTTCCTCGTGTCTCGTTCGTTTCTTTCTTTCTTTCTTTCTTTCTTTCTTTCTTTCTTTTCCTTCCTTCTTTTCCTTTCTTTTCTTCGTTCGAATTAATATCTCGTCACGAACGTTGAACTCGTTCGAAACGACGTTCTTCGTTCGAGTGAAAACGCACGGGAAACCCTTTAAGTGGGAAAGCTTCGTAACGAACAAATGGTATTGTGAGAACGGAGCATGAAATATGTAGTGTAGCGAGATGTTCCTGAGAACCACTGCGAAAAGACGGCAGTCGTAGAAGAAAGTGGAATTGCAAATAAAAAGTCGCAGAGGTAGCGCGTAAAGTATAAGGTAAACCAAAGTAAAAGGAGTGACTAGATGGTAGAGGATAGAAATGGATGTTACTTACTTAGACTTCGGTGCATTTCTATCCTTCCCGTTTCCTCCCTTGTCGCCCTCCGCCGTGTTGCTCATACGATTCCTCTGGTTTACTCCTACGCTTTCTCCTCGTCACGTCATTCCTCTTCATCACTCTTCTCTTCTCTATACAGCTTTCTTGCAGCTTCCACACAGCTCTTTCACTTTCTCTCTCTCTCTCTATCTCTCTCTCTTTTCCTCCTTTTTACTGCACTTTCTCTTTCATTTTTCTGCTTTATCGCCTTCCTTGTCATCCTCTCCGCTTTAATCTACTTTATAATCTTCCCTCTCTGACCTCCGTTCCTCTTTCTTTACAATCCTGTCCCAATTCCTCTGGCTCGTTTTCCATCTCCGTTTGTTCCTAAAAACATGACAGTTGCTGAAAATATGACAAAGTCCCCGCACACACATTGAACGATAGCTTTTCACGTTTCTCACGCTGAAAGAGTCTTTCTTCTGGCTGCTGTCGCCTCTTCCTCTGCCGTGCAAGAGGCAAACCGCTATCCTATGTCCCGTAAAATCTTCTTCGAACCCTGACGCACGGCTTCCGCAGTTCTTTCCAACTCGTTCAGCCACCCCTAAAGGTGTCGGTGAGTTCATTTCAAAGGTGTCCGCCGAGAAACTTGCGGGACTACCAGATTTTCTCAAAGCTAATGATCTTCTTCGTTAGAGTAGCGACGCGCGTACAAAAGGCTCCAATTACGGTACCTAAGGAAAATTACGAAATAACGAGACCACCGTTCGACGCTCCCGGGCACACGGAATTTCGATCTTCCCCGTTAGACGCCAGCACATTGCGAACAGAACTTGGTATTACGAATAAGAAATAAGGCGGACGGACCACGAGCCACAACAGTCCTTCCATTTCATCGCGCGCGTCCTCCTCCCCCGATATATCGTTCCTCTCCGTGGCTCGATTTCTTTCTTTTCTCTTTCTTTCTTTCCTTTTCTTATTTTTTTTTTTTTTTTTTTTTACGTCGCACGCTTGCGAAACCTCGCCAGCTTTTTGACTACAATCGAAACTTTCGCCCGCCCGTGTCACCCACATACACACAGCTGCTTTTTAGCCCTCGCTCCCCCTCCCCCTCCCTCCTTTGTAACTACCTCTCTTTTTCGTGGACGCCGCGATGGAAACGGTGGCTTCGTGGCACGGAGAAGTTAATTATAAGCGATACCAATCTCTCGGGGTTGTTGGGCGGTTGGTAGAACTGGGAAGCCATGACAGCCAATTACCACCCCGTGCCGACCCTCGCGCACGAGCCACCGTTCTCTTCCTCCGTCTCTTGCCCCTCTTTCACCCTCCCTCCCCCCCTCTCTCTCTCCATCCTCCTTTCATTCACGTTCTCCTTCTTTTTCTCCCCTTTCGTTCCTCCACACCTCTCCGTTCCTCCTTTTCCTTCACTCAAAACTTTCTCTCCCATTCTCTCCTTCCCTATCTTCCCTACATCCGCTTCACACGAACGCCACGCACACGGTCGCGGTCACGGACGTGGACGCGCGCGCGTCCGCGCCAACGCGTACACACTTACACGTGCTCTCTCCCGCCAGTATAGGAAATTAAAAGACTAGGCGATGATTGCGCGCGGCCTGGCCTGGCCTTTCCACCACCTTCCCTCCTCTCCTCATCACCCTCCCCAACCGACGAACCACCCCACGTCCTAGGGCCTCCTTTCTGCAATCTACCGTGCCGGCTCGGCTACCATAGGAGAGAAAAGAGAGAAGGCATTCGTTCTGCTTAGCGAAAATTACAGAATTGGTCGGGAAAAGTGATTGGGATTGGCCCTTTTACCGCATTTCTCCGTGCCTCGTTTCGCCTCGTTAAAGCACCCGAAACGGACACCCTGTTTAACCCTCCTCCTAGACTGACTCGTCTGACTCGCTTACGCTCTCCGGAAAGACGGATTTCGATTGTACGTACATACGTCTTGGACGTGGACGCGTGCCCTCTCGTGTTAATCGTGTACCATCGTCCGAAAATAAAAACTTCGCCCACTCCCCGAAATCTTGTGCCATCGGGACGATTGTTCAGAAACCCGTGACAGACTGGCAGACATCCTTGTTGTTCGAGAAGAAAATAAAAAAAAGAAAAGAGAGAGAGGGAGAGAAAGAGAAAAAAACAAAATGAATGTTTCACCGTTGTTCGCGCCCGGCAAACGTTACGTTCAACAAACAGAGCGAATCGAAACTGGTGGTGCGTCCGTGTCGGAGAGCCTGCGTCGTCCGTGCCGCGGATCGGTTCCATCCATTAGAGGCTTATGTCAACCGACAATAGGGATTAACCTTTGGGAGAATGCAGCGAGAAAGCGGCAACGGCTGCCATGACAGCCATCGTACCGGGTGTCGTTTTTAAGCCGCTTCCGCGCGACGGCTTGTTTACTGTTCCTGTGAGAAACTCCGGACTCCGACTCGCAGGTTGCTCGAGGAAAACTGCAACCAGTTGAAACCAGGGGCGAGTCCGTAGTCGTCGATTGAACATGTTTCAGGTCAGTTTGACTTATCGTACTTGCGACGTGCATTTGCGTTTCGATCTTACTCGAGACCTGGTTTAACGAAGAATTATCATCGAATCGAACTAAACCGACTTTTCTATTCAACTTTCTGCGTTTGATAAATCCTCGCTACTGCGATAATATCCACCAGAGCAGAACGTTACAGTTATAATTTTGTTACGATTAAAATAAAATGGAACGCAGTTAGCTACGTTGACTTGCACAATTTCCATTTTGCAACTCTTCACTCCGCAATGTTTCAACCGTCACGTACGAAATGGTAATCGTACGAAGAATAATACATAACCGAAAGCATTACTGCTGACGGTTCCACAGGAAGTCATCCTCAGAGGGCGAACGACAGAGAGAGCGGGGAATCCTGTGCCCGACGACCGTTGCTCGATATCCATAAAGTGAAACGCACAGTTACGACTTAGCGCGGTTGGCAGGCTTAGCTTGTTCGCCAATTAGGTTGAGTTAATTATAACCGATGGTTATCAGCCGGTTAACTCCGACACGCCATTACCTCACTTTGCCTCCGAGCGCGCACCGTCTAACCCCTCTCGCGTCGTCGTCTGAACCTTGGCACTCTCTCTCTCTCTCTCTCTCTCTCTCTCTGTGTGTGAGTGTCACTTTGACGCGCGTCTCGCGCATCTCCGAGAGCCACCCCTCGACGATCGGGCATGCTAATTTCTTAAACTCTGCGATTCGTAAAGGCGCGTACACACCTGCGACAAAGTGTCGTAATGAAAGCTTGTCGAGGAACTTGGAGGGCCGTGCCCGAGGTCTCGTCTCTGTTTGTACGAAAACTTGCGACCTCTTGGCGCGACATCAAAGCAACGAGTCACGGACGCCCCAGCGAACGAATCTTGAACGAGTGTACACCGGCGTTTGATAGCTTGTTTTTCTAACCATCGTAAGTAAGCGTGCGCTGGACGCTTGAAAAACTTTCCCAGATATGACAGATCGCCAACTGTATTTTCAATTCTCAAAAGTTCAAAGAATTAATCCAAGCTCCTTCGAGCTGACGCTCGTGTATTATGTATCTGCCAAATTCCTGTATCGTCTAGACATAAACCTAACGAGCGAAAATGGCGAGACAACGCGGCGGAATTTCGTCGGGCGCGTTTCGGGCAATGTCAAACACCTTGGGGGTTACAAATAATTTTTAAACGGCCTCGATGATACAGAAAATTCACAGCCGATCGTTCCAACGCTTTACGAGATTGCGTGCGCGACCGTGTTGGAGTTAGACCGTTCACTTTGAAGGGATATTATGTCATTGCGCCAACAGCCAGTCCAAGATCAAAGCGAATCGAATTTTTTCATGGTGTCTGGCCGCGACGTTCACCCGTGGCGGGGACAAAAGAAAATTACGTAGCGTAATCAACCCCTCAGCAGCATGTTTTAAAAACGAATTTATTTCAACGCAATTTACGAGCCGGTGGTAGCCAGTTTTCATTCGTAAACAGTTTTGTTAATTGCTTCTGAAAACAATATATGAGCAACGTTTACGGGCAAATCGGACCGTGTAACGCGTTCAGGAGCCAAGCGGTGTTGCGATCGAAACGTAAATCACCCTCCTCTTTTTCAACGTGTAAAATAACACGTGACGCAAGTCAACGCTTTTTGCGCCGTAGCGGTGTCCACAACGGGCACGCTGGATAGGACGACAGAAATCGAAATCGTACGAAAAGTTACTTTACCTAGCGAAGCGCGATATCGAAGTTAACGGTCGAAGCGTTTCTCGAGAAATCAATCGGAGAATGGCCTCGTTAATCTGGCGGGGTGGTTTCTGGATGCTCGGTTGCTCTTACATCACGTAATAGTATCGGGCCATCCCCCCGTTGGCCTTAACCCCCACAACGTCTTCCCCGCGGCAACTCTTCGGACCGAACTACCCTCTCCTCTTCCTCCTCCTCCTCCTCCTCCTCCTCTTTCTTCTCTCTCTCTCTCTCTCTGTCTCTCTCTCTTTCGCTCTCCGCCGTTTCCCAGCTAAGTCTGCGAGTGACTGAGTGGTTATTTAGGTAAGAGCCAGTCTCTCCCCGCGCAGAAGCTACCACCCACCCCTCGCGCAGCCCCTCGCTTAAGTAATGGTCCCGCAACATATTGTGCAAAGAAAAACTCGCTCGCTTATTTACGCTACTCCGCTTGACGAGGAGAGCGACGAGGAGAGCGAGTCTCTTCCGACTTGTTTGAGGCTCGATTAGACGAGAAAAGATTGTCGATCGAGATAAATACCCACGACGCGGAGAGCTCTCGGGACCGGCGAGAGAGATTAGACAGCGATTAAGTTCAAAAATATCGTGCCGCGTCAACTTATCGTGCCGAGTGGCCGAATTCTCATTCTCAATGTTCAAAGTTCGTAAAACAATTCACTGGAGAATCATTTTTCCAGAAACGCGCTTTCCATTAATCCAAGAGTTCATTCGACGAATGGTATCTATTATTTCGGTTCCAAAAGTACTTGTTTCTCCTCCGTCTCTCCCTCGACCGATCTCACCTTCGAGTGCCAAACACTCGGGAGCTCGATCCGTCTCAAAAAAAAAAAAAAAAAAAAAAAGAAAAAGAAAGAAGTCTTCCATCAGCGAATTAATGGGAGAAAGATCGAACGGCAAGCGTCATTCGATAGCGATTTGCATCGTAATGCGTGCACCCTGCCCGCTCTATCCTCCCCCTGCCCTCGGTGGGTAGAGTTGACGCAACAAAAATAACATCGGGCAGACCAAGGGAAGCTGATACGTGCTGCTCCTACTAATGCTGGCCTATCCGTACAAATAGCTGCTACTCAACCGGCATAATTACGGATTAGATGAACGGAAGATAGCTCTTAACTGCTGCGCGCGAAGGGTGGTTGCGGATCGCGGGATGACCGCCAGCATCAGCAGCGGGATCAATCGGCGTGCACGCGATTCTGCACGCACACGCGTGCCAGCCACTCTCAGCCTCGGTACCAACGATACCTTCTCGCGTCTCGCGTGGTACCGTGTGGCAGAGCAAGCTGGCACGTGTCGAGGCGTCGGTGCACGTGCGACTCTGTCGAAAATCGATATATTCTTCCTCTGTTCCACCCCTCGGCAATATCGGCCACCTCGTATATTATTTTAACGCGCTTTAAGCTAACCACCCTCCCCGAACCGATTCACGCGATCCGTCGAACGCACGAATTTGTCCATCGTCGCGCAAGTACTGCAAGTTCCCATGACGCGTAAATCGCTTAATGATTCTCGCCACGCTCACGATTTTCCCATTGTACATACGCGTTGCGTTATACCGTGGTGTCATCTTCTTTCATACGAAGATTAGACAGTGGTGATTCTCGGCACGAATTGACGATCAACGAGCATGATAGGAAAATAATCGAAAACGTTCCGCTTCTCAAGACTCAAAACACAATAGTCCGCGTGTTTTCGTTACGATTCGAGAGAGAACAAAAAAAAAAAGGATACGCGGAGGGTTGGACGTTCCGGGCGCGGCGGCGATTTAATTAATTTTTAAACGAAAGACAAGAACGATCGGCGCGCAACGGTCGAACAATGGGAGCACTTGAGCAATAAACAAAAACGGGTACGCGGACGTCGATGGAACAGTCAGCGGCGACACGCGAGAGAACGGGTAGGGTAGAGATGATCTGATTACGACCGCATCATGGGAAAGTCAACTCGCAAAGCGAGGGTAGAAACTCGATTCATCCTATCGTATCCTATTGTGCGAGCTCTGTCACCGATGCGTATAATTCGAAGGGATCGGGCGCGCGTCCGCACGCTTCGGCATTAATTTCCAGCACAAAAAGGTGCAGCAGCACACGGCGAACGATCCGCGCCGCGCATCGTTCCAGGGCGCACGCGATCGAAATTTCGAACGCGAGCCATTAGCGTCCACCCCTCCTCTCCCGCGGAAGCTACGTTCCTCTTGTACGCTGGCTCTCGGATTCCGCTGCTCCTGGCAGCGGCGTCGGATCGATAAAGATCGAAAACCAGAGGGGCTGGCTCGGTGGAGGGATCATCAATCGTCCGGCGAGAAATTTGGGAATCTGGGAAAAGCGCAGAGGCGAGTTTCGTTCCGTGTCGAGGAAGATCAACGAACGGGCGAACGAGAGAGAGTAAACGAGAATCGGACGCATTAGGAGGTCGCAGGAAAACGGGAAACGGCCTGGCGACAGGAAGAAACCACGAAGAAAAGACGGCCCACAATGGGCCGTTTATCAAAAGTCGTGATACCGAGCGCTGGCCGCGCCTTTCCGGCCGCGCGGTCCATCAATAAAACCAAGTGATTTAGCGAGTCCCTGGCGGGCGTACGGGGAAAAGCAAGGTGGCGGAGCACGAATTTCCAAGATAAAGGGGTCAACAATGGACGGTAACCAATGGTTGGTATTCGGCCAGTGTCGAAACGCCGCCTTCCAATCACTCGCCGATAACAATGCCCCCCAGTCTGGTTTATAAATCCGCGCATTGTTGCCAACTTAAAAGCTCTCGCGACAAGAGAGTAAGAGAGAGAGAAAGGAGGGGGGGGGGGAGGGAGGAAGGGACGTAGAGCAGGCTAAGACTAGGGGGAGAGAATCTACTCAAGATCTCGGGCGTTGAAAGCACCGTCGGAAAGGTAGACGAGGAGAGAAAGAGAGAGAGAGAGAGAGAGAGAGAGAGAGAACTAGAAGAAGAGGTGAACGAATGGAAAAGAGGAACGAAGGCGGGAAGCGTGGGTGTTTAAAGAGTGGAAGCGAGAAGATGGTGGCAGAGCTTGAGAGCCGTGTAAAAGCATTGAGAGCACTTTAATGAATACGATTAGGGGCGTTAACTGTGAAGGATTGCCAAGCCGAAGAAAGCGCCACGGCAGGGAAAGCTCTTTTCCGGCGCCTTCGACCGAGCCCAGGCTAGGTCCTTCGTCCTCTCGTCGCTGAGGAAATTTTCGGTCAACTGTGCGATCGCTCGCTCGGTTCACTACCGCGAACATCCTTGCCGTGAAATTCCATCGGTATTCTCTTACCAGAACTCTCCTCCTCGACGATGATCTATCATCGTGCGCGTGAAAATTTCGACTGTCGCGATCGATGTTGTCGGGTTGTTTCTTCAGAGGCAGCACGTTTGCGCGTATCTTTCCGCGCCCGAATTCGTCGAACTGACGCAACGACGTCTTCTGTGTTTCTTTTTCTGTCTTTCGTGACGCCACGAAGCAATTAAGCGTTCGACATTACTTAAATTAACTCCGCGAATCAAGGCATGCAGCCGAGGTCATCTACTTTGTCGTCCACGAGAAACGCAAGCTGGAAAAACATTTGCCTCAGGGCGGACGTATCGTCGGCAGATGCCGTTATCTCTCCGACTGAATATACGATGTCGCGTTATCAGCATGCGAACGACAAACCCACTTCCTATGCACATTCTTGTTTCTTTCTCGTCAGTTCAGCCTACCGGGAATAATCTGCCTCATTAGCGAACCGATAGAAACCAGCTGCCTACGCGAACCCAGTTGCCCATTCACTCGCGTTCCACGATGGAAAATTGGCCACGTGTGGTTGCCGTTTAACGGTGGTAAACCGATGCTTTTCATAGGTCCAATTAACAGCGATATCTTAACTTAAGCCGTGTTGGACATCTCTTCGACGTTACCTGCCAAAATGTGCCGTATGCAAGATTTGTTAATTTATCGCCACGAGCGATTAGTCAGCGACGCTTGCGTTTCCAAACAAATTCTACAACCATCCAGCCATCCTTGCTACGCGGCAT